TACAAAACACCCAAAGACAACAGCAGAACGTTACAGGCTACGCAATCACCAGCGAAGCGTTCAAGTGTGTGTGCATATTTTAAAGTCCTTCTAGTTTTTGATTAATTTGTAAATGATACTGGTTTTTGAGCCATACAGAGAACAATGATGCCAGGTATGGTCAAACTTTTCGTCTTCAGAGCATGCCAGGAAAAGTTATGGATTTTGTGTAATAAATGTACCAAACCATGATCACTGAACACATCAGTGGAGTTGATAGATCCGAGGCTGTGTTTCTGCAACCGTTAGGTATATTGAGACCAAACTGTGTGTGTGTCACTGTCACGCCACGCTGACCACACCATATCAATCAGGTCACAGCGCCACCTACTGATCAAAAGGGATAAGCACTTAAATCACATTACAGGTGATGGTATTTAGGATCTTTTTAACTATTTTGCCAAAAACCTACAAATGTCTTTAATTTCTCATTTTTTGCTGATGATGTGCTTGAGCCTGATGACTGCTGTTTGCAGATATGTTTAGTAATAATAATAATTGTATTAACATTTAAATCTATAAAGAGGATAGATAAAAATGAGGATCTGTGCGTAGTCACTGTAAGAGCACCCATGCTTTCCTGGGTCATCATTTAACATCTAGGGGCATGACTGGTTTTTGGCTGGTTTGGCGTTCAGTATTTTATGTGATTTTGCATTCTGGGTTTTGGGTCATATATAAGTTTTTTTTTCAGGTATGCACAGACTCAAAGCGAAGACCATCATACTTCACTGAAAAAAGCATGGAGTCTTCTGTAAAATACATCAACAGAAAATTCCCCAACATTGACATCAGGGGTGGCAGTGTGAGTATTCACAGATAAAACGTGATTCCTTGTTGTCTTTGTTCTTGGCTCAGATGTTGAATATTTAATTTCCCTTTTCTCAATCAAATGTTTCTGCAGCAACATCTGAGCAGCGTACAGAAGCAGAAGTCAGCTGTGTTGGAGGGCCTGCACAGTTACTACGAGTCCTTCATCGATGTCATGGAGTTCAGGGTAAGAATGTCAGCGGATTCAACTCCTTGTCAACTTAAGTTCATTTGGTGGCCATCTTGGTAATATTACCACCAGACAGCAGTTTCTAGTTATGCAAGTACAACTTAATCTACTTGAACTGAGGAAGACAAATCTTTACAACTGTTTGCAAAAATCAGTTAATTAAAACAAAATTCAATAACATGCCAAATCAGCAATGCAAGCTTCATTTGTAAGTTGCTTTAGATACAGGTGTGCAATGTCTTTATTAAACTGAACACAAAGTGTTCACTACCTCCTTCCACCACTGCTCAGATATATATATATATATATATATCACTATTCATCATTGTGAATAAGATGCTATTTGCTGGTATCTAACATGGTGCAAACAGTGCCACTAGATAGACACTAAAAACAAGTAGCAATGACCAAAAACCAGCGAGGAAAATCTTTCAATATTACTGGAGCTAAACCTAAAAAGGTCCCACTTCAGCACTTTATTCGGGCATTTCTGAGGAAAAATGTTGATACATTTGCTGACAAATTGTTTGAGGCTTATGGCATTGTGCCTTAAAATAAGAGTCACCAGATTCCACATTTGAACGTTAACTTTCACATGAACTAATGCTTTACTAACAATGCGTTTCTAACACAACTTGGTATATGTAATGTGATTGATATATAGTTTCTTTATATTTTCATTATTCTTTAGGACCATGTTTATGAGTTGCTCAACACAATAGATGCCTGCCAGTGCTACTTTGACATAGTAAGTACGACTCTTGAAGAGAGGAAAGGAAATCAAAGGAGAGGCAGAGATGGTTTTACACTAATCTGTGGTCATAATCCATTTCAGGCTGTAAATTTTGACCTCACCAAGAACTACCTGGACCTTATCGTCACCTACGCCTCAGTCATTTACATGCTGTCCCGTATTGATGACAAGAAGGCAATTGTTGGAATGTATAACTGTGCATTTGAGTTCTGCAATGGAAACAGGTAACAGATTTTTAGACACAGTCACGGTGCTTTTGGACAGTTATACGTACAAATACTCATAACAGTTCATAAGCATTTCACAATTTGGAGGGAAACAAACTCAGACAATTTCATAATTTTCCTATTTGGCACATTGGCACATCTCATTGTCATTTGTGTTTGTACGATCTGCTCACGTGATCCTCTGAGGGCTACTGGAGGTTTGGTGGTGACTTTTTTCCTACAAATCATACGTTTTCATATAAAATCGCCAACTTGTACAATACTTACATATTGTCATGAGATTGGGCTGAACACAATGTACATTTCATATCAATATGAATCTGCAATTACACGTGATTTCAATATTTACACCACATCTTTCAGTTTAAGTATACAGTACAGTGTGAAATCAGTTTCTGAAATCATTTAGTAAATGGCTTTTCTTTCAGATGATGTGATGTCAGAACATTTGCTCAATTGATCATTTAAAAAAAAGTAGTAAATGTAAATTTGATAGTAAATGGCTTTTCCTGGTTTATGTATCTTTATGTATTCTCGCAGTCATTGTGTAAACATAAACCTACACACATTTACATTTAAGCAACAGAAACAAGTGACTTGTAGGTGATTCTCATCCCCAGGACGTTGTCTTATCACTCTTTTTTGGTCTCATTAATGTTCAGTTTAATTCAAATCTGCATGCTATTACATTCTGAAAAAAATTGTTTTATTTTCGCACAGCCGAATGTGAAACAGATTCATATAGTTAGAGACAGATCATTGCTTTACTTCAAGACTAGATGCAAAACGCTAACTTTTATATTCTTGTAGGAATATTATTATGACTACAATCAATCAAGTACTCTTATAGAATCATGTAGATTATTTATATCTAACCATCCAAATACATCCATTACTGGCTGGAGATTTTATTGGCTTGTATCTGTCTGTTGAGTCAGCCAACAGTCCTTGGCTCAGAAACATAATACAAATGCAGAAAGATGGATGTGAGGGCAATAGAATACGTCAGAAATATATAATAATACACTGGACGATTGTGTGTGTTATAACTCTACGCAGTGATCCCTCATTCCCTCGACTTGGTCAGATGTTTATTGAGTACGACCATCCCTGGAAAAAACTTTCAGAGGAGTTTGGTCCCCACACCAAGGTCAGTCCCCTATAGATACACCAGACAATTATATATACAAAATAATATTCTTATGATATGCAAAATCAGCGTCGGTCTTATTATATTCTAGTGTTTGGCACGTACCACTCAGTTTCTGTTTGCTGTGCAGCCATATTAAAGAGAAATGAAACCCTAGTGAATATTGGATAGATAAGTCTTCAGACTTAGACAAAAGCTGAAGTGTAGTCATTCTAGTCTGTGAGTGATTCAGTTAATATGTGGATGTCTGTGTTGTTGGTCAGTCTGTGACAGGGGCTCTCCTCTCGCTGCGCATGGTGTATCCGCGGAGGAATCTGTCTGCTGATCAGTGGCGCAGCGCTCAGCTCTTGTCTCTGCTGGCGTCCCCTGCTGCCATGCTCAGCCCTACGTGCTGTGACACCGTACGTACACCCGTTATCAGTTCAGCTGTGTGGCTGTTTGGTTATACAATGCCACTGCAGTCCATGATGTGTCAGTATACAGTTTGTGTAAAGGACTAACACTGAGCATTGCTTCTAGATGGCTTGTGAGTATCTGTCCATGGAGGTGATGGAGCGCTGGATCCTCAGTGAGTATCTGTTAAATACAAGGAGACATACACTTTCAGTACAATCTTTACCTAAGATCACGCTACACTAGCTGTCAGGCCGAGAGAGAGAGAGGGAGGTGAAGTTAGATGGAAATGAAAATGAATTATTGTGCAAATGACTCACCAGAAGAATGCAGTCTCTCATCTAGAATAATATGTATTAATTTGAGTAAGGTTAAGAACTAATTCATGTGCAAACGTGAATCTGGTGGAAATGCTTTGTGAGACGTTTTTAAGGACAAATCATCCACACATTTATTAGTGAATGAGACTTGATGATGGCTCTCATATGTGACCCTGGACCACAAAACCAGTCATAAGGGAAACATTTTTGAAATTTCGAAAAAATATATTTATCTTTATCATCTGAAAGCTGAATAAATAATCTTTCCATTGATGTATGGTTTGTTAGGATCGGACAATATTTGAAAATCTGGAATCTGAGGGTGCAAAAAAATCTAAATATTGAGAAAATCATCTTTAAAGTTGTTCAAATGAAGTTCTTAGCAATGCATATTACTAATCAAACATTAAGTTTTGATATATTTACGGTAGGAAATGAACAAAATATCTTCATGGAACATGATCTTTACTTAATATTATTAATGATTTTTGGCATAAAAGAAAAATTTATAATTGTGACCCATACAATGTATTGTTGGCTATTGCTACAAATATCCCCCAGCGACTCAACACTGCTTTTGTGCTGCAGGGACACATATAATGGTTGATATTTTAATGATCTTTTATAGACCTCTGAATGATTCTTCATTCTGACTCTTTCTCTGAATTAAATTGATTTGTTTGCGTCAGTGAAACTCTACTCCCCACAGGAGACAATCACAACAGAGAAATGGAAATCTGACGATGTTAATGCGTTAATGAAAAACCATTTTAATGATAATATGAGCCTCAAAACTGTAATACTGTAGTAGATTGAGTTTTGTGGATCTCAGTGCCCCCAAATATCTGTAAATAACCTGCTGGTTATAAACTTGGATGTAACCAAATAGATGCTTCCATGAACAGACGCCCCAGATGAGGTGCATAGAGAGTTAGTTTCCTAATGTTCATGTGAATGAATGTATGAATGAAAGACAGTACATTTGCACTGATATGCTGTTATCTTGTGGTTGTCAGTTGGCTTCCTGTTGTGCCATAGCAGTCTAAACGCCAATGCAGACTCTCAGAATCTGTGGAAGATGGCCCTGCGTAACGGCCTGTACCTCACAGTCATCAGAGACGAGATACTCAACATACACAAGCTCTCCGAGGACTTCTTCGACAGTCTCAAAGGGTAACACGTGCATGCAGTACACACATGTATCAACAGCCTGACATCAAGATTTTGATGTATCACAGAATTATTTATTGTAATGTACACAGTTTATCTTCACTGTTGTTTACAGGTACAGTAAGCGCATTCCCGACATCAAAGAATGCAAAGAGTATGTCATCATTAACTGGTGAGCATCTTAACTATTTCGAATGTCCCAAATGGGCATCGAGCTTTTGTCAGACTCCAGAATGCAGACTAAATGTTCACTCATCTCACGGGTTTTCCAGCGGGGCATTGCGGAGAGAGAAGCGCAACTTCCTGAGAAATGCCCTGAAGGAACTTACCAAAGTTTTGGAGGATGAACCTGCTTTGCTTGGACCCAAGGTTTCAACTGTTCTTTTACTTTACTATTATTATTATTATTGTTAGTCATATTTATTTATTGCTTTTTTGCTATATTTAAATGCAAATAAATTGTAATAATGTAGAGTGGTAAGACATCTCTGAGGCATGAACTGTACGGTATATGCGCCCGCTCTAGGCTTTGTTTGTGTTCATGGCGCTGTCGTTCTCCCGAGACGAAGTGCTCTGGCTTGTGCGTCATGCAGAGAACATCCCCAAAACCAAGACCCCGGAGGACTACGCAGACTCGTAAGTTTCACTGAGCTGCAGGACGTGAGCATTCAACACATCTGTAACATACCGTATGTGACCTTCTCCATTAGTTTCATTCACTATTCACCAACTATTTACCAACAAACCTAACATTTTATGCAACACGTTTTGTTTTTGAAAAAAAAGTTTCTGATCATCATGGAAATATCAGAAAAGGACAGCAGAGTGACAACATTAGACGTTCATTCTAAGATCTTTACATCATGATCTGAGTGTTATTAAGGGTTATTATATGTCAGTACTGTGTCAGTATTTGAGATTCATTATTTAATTAAAACACAATCAATTTATTTTTCTTATTTCATTGCTGTCACACAATAGTAAAATCCGTACCATCACATATAAAAGCAGTTCGTTAGTTTTTTTCTTTTTCTTTCTTTCTTTCTTTCTTAAGTTTTAAAGTAGTCAAAAGTGCCTCTAACTGAAGAATCACATTTGTATATTATGCTTGCTATGAAGGCTGCTATTACATTTTCCAAAATTAAAAGTGAAGCACTGGTGACTTTGTAAACTTGGAAAGACTATTATGGTAATATCTACTTTCCGGTAACACTTTAGAATAGAACACTTATTCACTCTTAACTATGACTTTTCCCTCAAAAAACTCCTAATTTGCTGCTTATTAAGAGTTAGTAAGGTAGTTGTTAAGTTTAGGTATTGGGTAGCATTAGGGATGGAGAATAAGGTCATGCAGAATATATGTGCTTAATTAGTACTAATAAATGGCTAATATTCTAGTAATATGCATGCTAATATGCAACTAGTTAAGAGACCCTAAAATAAAGTGTTACCCACTTTCCTAGATTGTTGTGTGAATTGCACACACACACACATGAACCTTTCATATGTTCACATGCTCAATGTTTTTGTCGTACAGACAGATGGCAGAGCTCCTCTACTACATGGAAAAGTTGCGCACTCTGTTGGCTCAACACAGATATGTTATACAACGCTACCATCTGCAGTACTTGTCACAGTATGATGCTCTAGCGCTGAACGACACCATTCAGGTACTCCGGCACACGGCACTGCTCACTGAAGCGCATTTCTGTAAGAAGGTTTGCAGTTGTGCTTCATTTTCTATCTTCTCATTTCAGGGTATGTACGTCTGTCCGGAGGAAGAATCCGTTCTTATGTCGTCGTTTGTCTCAACTCTGTCCGCACTGAGTCTCAAGCACTGTGAGTTGTCTTTCAGTTTTCTCTTCACAGGCTGTGTACTCTGTGCATACTCGCACAGGTCGCAGCAGTACAAGGTTTTTAGGTAGTGTTGTGACTGCTTAATTGGGCTGGATTTGTTTGGGATTGTAAACTCTGAAATTAGAGCTTTGTGCGACTGACCAACTGGTCAAAAGACAAACTTGAGGGGAAAAGTGTTTTTTTTTTGTTCATATTAAAAATATTGTGGGTTTGTTTGTATGTGTGGTTTAAGGTACAGTTCATATTTGAGAAATAGGTATGACATGATTTAAGTAAATATTGTTCAACTGCCGTCTTTCAGCATCTTTTATAAAATGTGCAGCAGGAATTCAAATCCAGGTGTTACATAGAGATTTCTTTTCTTAATATTCGTTGGTGGTCTTGTTTATACAGTGGATGCAGGAGAAGAGTTTGATCTGAAACCATTCAGACTGGACTGGTTAAGATTGCAGGTACGGCTTAAGCAAAACTGAATTAATCTGAAGCCTAAATAAGAAAAGAAAATAGGCCAAAATAGGAAGACCTTTGGACACACACTTTCATTCATTTACTGTGGTTGAAGTTGAAGTTTCCTGAATACTTTTTAAAATGAAAATATGAAGGGAACTTGTTCATCTAATCAATTAGATCTCACATATTTATACAGCAGGAACATGCTTACCTCACTGCCACTTTTCAGTTTCCCTCCACTTTTTTTAAACATATGTATTGTTAATACTAAATGTTGAACCATATTTCTTTATTCAATGTATAGCACACCAAATTGACCCATGTCACCCACTGGGAAATCACAGCACTAGTTCTTAACCAAGCTAGAACAATGTTCCAGATTGGAGTTTGTGGTTTTGTGTTTCTTTATTATTATTATTAGTAGTAGTAGTAGTATCATTATTTTAGCGATTTATTTGGTCATTTTATTTTAAAACTTAGTCATTCTTTCAATTTTACACATAATGTCTAGCATAGACTACACAGATGTATTCACTATGTTTGTTTTCATTGTTTTCGTCAATCTGGACACTTGGAGGACAACATCGGGTAGGATGGAATAACGAGTTGTTGTTGTTTTCAGTAAAATAAAGAAAATTACATCTTAATTGATTATTCAAAAAAATTATCGGCCAGTTAATCAATAAGCAAAATAATATTGCAGCCACATTTTGTGTAAGAATGTCTGCCAATTGAATACATGCATTTAGTACACACTCAAGACACTCAATCTCAATAATCCATCAAAAGTTACGGCAACCATTCCAGATCTGATGACCCAAAGTGTTTGCGTTCTTCAGGTGTACACCAGTGCTGGTAAAGCTGCTCTGGCACTGAAGGACTACCCTGATCTTGCCAAGGTCATGAACATGGCCCAGTTTCACACTAGGATGATGGACAATGTGAATGAACTCCTCTGTGAGACGGCTGATCTCTCTATTCTCTGGTGAGTCACTTCTGAGTGATTGAGTGAAGCTGTGACATCAGTACAGATGCACATTTATGTTGTGTGGTGTAAGGGTCATCCACGCAGGTTAAGAATGAATATGACAATAAAAAATAGAAATTCTGCGATTTCTTTTTTTGCTGATTTTTTCTTTGTGTTTGTATAAAGACATTATCTTAGCTGCGTTTTACCATATAATACAAGTGAATAAGGACTGTCAATCTCAAAAATGACTAAAAAGCACATCAAATTATCATGACAGTTTCCACATGATTCACGCTCTCCATTTCGAGTCTTCTAAAATCATGTGATAGGCTTGTGTGACATCTATTTGGTTTTTCACAGATAATCTTCCCCTCTGCAGAAGCTTTGAAATAGAGTACAAAAGTTGTATTAACTACACAAATGCCACATCGACACCATTTGATGTCATTGACCCCAAACTGTGTTAGTTCTTGCATGTTTCCATTGATGTTGATGATGTTTCAGAGCTATACGATTCAAAAGCTAATCAGAGGAGGAGATTTGGACTAATGGTTTGTCACACAGAAGATCATATTGAGACCATGAATACAGAGTCCTCAGTCCTTTATTATGATGAAATGTGTGGCCAGGATATTAATCAAAAATGCACCTTGTTGAAATTTGCATCTTCTGTGAGTCTTAAAAAATGTAAATGGACAAGAGATGCATACAGCTTAGAGATCCAGACATTTCTTTTGAGTTGACGTGCCTGTAATGTTTCAGTTTCCACGCGAGAGTTATAAAATTGGACATAACTTTACACAGAAAAGTTTTTTCAAATGAAAATCATGTTAACACGGATATCGTTCATGTCTTGTGGTTATTCTTTTGAAGTGGAATAGTTGAACTTTTACGGATTGGCCCCATTCACTTCCATTGTAGGTGCCTCACAATAATCTAGACTTTAGCTTTTTGAAAGTCATTTTGTGGTAATCAACATTATGCCACAAGGGCAAATGTGACACTGGAGCACAAAACCAGAAAGCTGAATAAATAGATCCTCTCAGTTCCATGCTGTGTCTTAAAGGAATATCCCAGGTTCCCTCCTTTTCTTAAAAAAAAAGCAAAATTTGAGGTTACTATGAAGCACTTAAATGTGTATTGTTTAAGCTGTAAAGCTCATTTTAGGGTTTTAGGTGTTAAGTCATCATGGCAACAGAGTTATAAAATTGGACATAACTTTACACAGAAAAGTTTTTTCAAATGAAAATCATCTTAACACGGATATCGTTCATGTCTTGTGGTTATTCTTTTGAAGTGGAATAGTTGAACTTTTACGGATTGGCCCTATTCACTTCCATTGTAGGTGCCTCACAATAATCTAGACTTTAGCTTTTTGAAAGTCATTTTGTGGTAATCAACATTATGCCACAAGGGCAAATGTGACACTGGAGCACAAAACCACATCACATCCTCTGAAAGCTGAATAAATAGGCTTTCCACTGATGTGTGGTTTGTTGGGATAGGACAATATTTGGCTGAGATACAACTATTAGAAAATCTGGAATCTGAGGGTGCAAAACAATCTAAATATTGAGAAAATCATCTTTAAAGTTGTTCAAATGAAGTTCTTAGCAATGCATATCACTAATCAAACATTAAGTTAATATATTTACGGTAGGACATTTACAAAATATCTTTATAGAACATGATCTTTACTTAATATCCTAATGATTTTTTGGCATAAATGAAAAATCTATAATTTTGACCCATACAATGTATTGTTGGCTATTGCTACAAATATCCCCCAGCGACTCAACACTGCTTTTGTGCTGCAGGGTCACAATTGTCAATTGAGCTTAACTGATTTTGAACCCAGAATATTCCTTTAAAGTTTGTTTGAGAGAGAGTCAGCCTTCACAACTGTAAAATCTAAATGAAAAGGCATTTGGTAAAAACACATGAGTTTGATAAATCATTAATCATGCACTGCTTTGTTCAGTCAGCATTGCTGTGACCTAACGAATAGAGGTTTACAGGGTAATTGTGCAGATGGCCAATTATAATCAGAGCACTCATGAAATCGCCCGACCCACTGACCTGCTGGCTGGGATTCAAGCGTATGTTACGAGTCTGCATAGCCTCAGCTGCTACATCAACATTGATGTCACACGACTGGTGAAGAACGTCTTGTTGCAGCAGACGCAACCGCTGGACTCATATGGCACTCAGACCATCACAACACTCTATACAAACTGGTAAGACCCCATGAAATCGTATTAGCTTACAGGGCCATTCCCTCTAAGCTGACTAGACCCCTACCACCAGGTGAGGATCAGTGACACATAAGGTCACCTGTGTATCCCGTAGTTCACAGGCCATCCTGCTTCAGACATGACCACAGGGAGGTAATTGTAACCCTGCCCCCTCAAATGAATCACCACTGCACAGACTCGATGACAGCGGCCATACCTGGGACATTTTGGCTTCACTTCTTTTATAGTGGAAGGAAGTGGAGACGCGTCATACATCTTTTTTTTTACAGTCTATATGGTTCACAAATGAAAACAAGTGAAAAGCAGTCTGGGCATTCCGTTTGAATGGCTGCTTCACAAGACACAGCTGAATTTTCTCAAAATTACCTTCCAAATAGTAGCATTTTGCTTCAGTTGTTTGTCGATGTATATCTCCTTCATCCAGTGCTGTTTGTTCTCTGCGTTCTTAAGTATCTTGACACTGTCTGTTTTACTTACACTTCAGATGAATCAGAGAGAGTGGTCCAAAAGAACGATTAATTCACGAATTTGTATCGCTGGTTGGGTAGAAATAAATAGGGACACAAGTAATAACTTTTTCAGGTCAGTGAGTATGCTCATGGCACATACAGTGTGTTCAGCTGTACAGACTGGTTGCATATCAATAACACATTAAAGACAGTCCTGAAATTCAGGAATGAAACATCTGATTGCCTTCATGAGTCACTGAATATAAATATCACATTTCTGGTCTCCAATTTAAAAGTAGTTAATGTGTTTCTGGTCTCCTGTTGTCAGGTTTCTGGAGGGTCTCTTGCGTCAGGCCAGCAGTGCTCTCATAGTCCACTGTCCTACCACACAGTGTTTTGTAAACCAGAATACTGAGAATGAGCAGAGCTTTCATGCTGAGGAATACGCGGACATCTGTGGTAAGCTGAAAATTAAAATAATATTTCAGCTAAATAGCTAAAGGTTTAAGCTAAATATTTTGTTTCACAATTTTAATAGGCTACTGGATCTGTATACCACTTCAATTTTTATACATGTATTCTTAAGCATTTGTTTCCCAAAGTAATATGATGTGTTTCTTTTATAGCAACAACAACAACAACAACAACAATAATAATAATACATGCCCACACTTTCTATTTTTGTATTGTACTTAAAATTATATTATTCTATTAAATGGATACATGGCAAAAGACTGATTTTATGCTGACATATTTCTCTGTAGGGTTGCGATCATTGGCTGAACTGATTGGCCCTTATGGACTGAAGTTTTTAAATGAGAACCTCATGTGGCACATCATATCCCAAGTTGGAGAACTGAAGGTATGACATTTTTCAAAATGAAGAAATTCTTGTGGCATAATGTACAAACAAGGCCAATGAAATAGCTAATCAAAAGTATATGTGATAAAGTATAGATTATTGAACTAGCTCATGTTGTTGTTTTCAGAAACTTGTAAGTGACAACATGGATGTCCTGGTGCAAATGAGAGCTAACTTTGAAAATCCTGAAGCAATGAGTGACCTTCAAAAGAAACTAACAGGTGCGATTACAGTTCATACACTTTCAAGCTTCATTACTCAAGCTTAAATCTAATCTGTCAATATTTAGAAACTTTCATCCTACATAGTTTTCTGCAGTTTTTAACATTCTTCCTTTCAAAAGTAATCACAACTACGACTCTATTATTAAATATAACAATATCATAAAACAAGTAAATGAGCTGTTTAAAAAAAAAAAAAAAGCCCACTGAACTGACATACAATGACATTCTAGACTGGAGAATTGTGTGCTTCCCATTGTATGTCAGTGGGAAGTGGAGGGTCCTATAATTTTCCAGTATGTTGATACTCCCGTGTACAAAGTGAGCTCTATACAGATATGGTTTTTCGAGTTTGGTGTGGAAGAATTTGACAGGCCTGCACAAAAACTAGCCCTTATCAGTAGTGGCAAGGTCCGAAAAGACAACAATGGAGTGCTGCCTGAACTAGACTGGCAAGAGCAATTTCAGATACTTGAGCACACGAAACAGGAGAAAGGAGGTGATTCCAACCAGTTCTCACTATCTGATACTTTAACAGGCTTTAACAAGCACTTGAGGTAAAAAAAAAAGCTAAATACTTAAACCACCCATGACCAATCACTATTACCATGTGCTGTTCTTCTTGCACTCTCTTCGGAACTCTTCTCTCACACAAAGGTCTCCTCTGTATTAACGCTCTCTTAAAAGAAATTAATGCAATAACCAGACATGGCAAAACTCTACCAGAAATACAAATATAAGAGAATTGCTATTACCAATATCCTACAAAATTAAAAGGCAGGAAATTGTATTTATAATAATTCAATATAAATCATTGAAATATTATTGAATAAACACATTGAATTATAATAATCCAACAAATTAAATTAGTTTTATCAATTTAATTTAATTTATTTTTTCATCAAAATGTATTCATGCTTTTTAAGCTAGGTGTAACGTTGGGAGGTGTGGCGACGGATTTGGATCCAAATGCAGGCTTTATTCAGAAGTGTGGTCAAAACAGGCAGGGTCAAACTACAGCAAACAGGTACAATCCAGGATGAGACAAAAGAGTAATCCAATAAACAGGTGAAGGTCAGGGCAGGGCAGGCAGCAAACAATCAGAAATCAGAAACAGTCCAGGGTCAAAAACAAGGCAAGGCAAGAAGGAACAAGGACAACACGGGAACGCAACAGGCTAGACAATACTCAGCAATGTGTGAGTGTGAGTTATCCCGAAGCGCGAGTGTCGAGATCCCGAAGCGCAGATGTTTCGAAACACTGCTCCGAAGTGTGAATCGAAACACCCATGTCACGTGACTAAGGCGAATCAAAGCATCGGTGCGTTTCACAAGTGTTTCGAGACCCGAATCTGCTTTTGATCGAAAGGGTCGGGAACAAACCACATATTCGCACATCTGTCTTAACCTAACTCCCGCAAAGTATAAAAGTGGAGTTAATGCAGCAGAACAATTAATATATTTAAATAAAATAAAAAAATGCCAGGCGTTGTGGTTTGATGTCTTTTATTAATGTAAATTTTTTCATGACAAAAATAACATTCACAAAGAGTTCATTCAGTTGTCAGAGAGATGTTACAATACATTACAAGAACAGAACAATAAAAACACAACTTTCAAATATTTATATGCATGCTTCACCTCGGATTCGAACCTAAAGTGACAGGTTCTGACAACATGTCAATCGTGCACACTAAGCACTCCCCCAACCCACATGGTGAGATGACGTGCACAACATATATGTTATTCGTTGTCAATGCTGTTTCAGAGCAATACTTGAAAATGAGTAGAGACGGGTGTCAAATTGTTTTGAAGCCTCGGCACATTTGCTTCGACTGTTTCATGAAGCCTCGCTCTGCCCACCAGTAGTGTGAGTGCAACCTTTATAGTGCTTCTGATTGGAAACAGGTGGAGTCTGATAACGAGTTCCTAGGCAGAGGGTTATGGGAAATGTAGTCTGCGAGAGTGTGACAGCAGTGTCCTCTGGGAGAGCTCATGGGCCCTCCAGCTGCTGATCGTGACACTAGGGGATGTTTTACTCAGTCATAATTATATTCTTCTCTTATTTCTCTGTAGACTTGTACGTTTATTAAAAGTTGATTTATCCAATGTTTTTCATCAGGCTGTGAGAATGTTTTGAAGAGAATGACGATTATTGGTGTGATTCTGTCATTTCGCTCTATGGTCCAAGAAGCTCTTGCGGAGGTGAATGTCTCTATTTATGTAAATTAATGTTGAATCAGAACACAATAGATCAAGTGTTTTCTACATTCATATTCATTACAATAATATCCGATATAATGTTGATATTAAATGTAAAAAAAGACTGTAGTTATATATGTCAAGCTATACATAAAGCTTATACATAAATATTTTCAAGCTTTAAAAAATACACTAATCCCCTCTGTATTTGTCATGGTATGTGTACATCTTATGGTATATACAGTACATCAAGATAACTGCATTATAATTTTTACATTTTATAATGTACTTCCGGGTTTATGAGTGAGCAAGGGATGTAAGTCTATTGATCATTTCCATCTGTAGATCATGGACAGACACTGCCCATTTCTAACGAGACCCATCAAATGCCTAAAGGACTTCATCTACCCTGAAGGTGACATCAAGGTAAATCACTGAGTCACTGCTACTGAAATAACCGAAATAACGGTTAGCTTCTTTACATGTATCTGTCATTACCTGTTGTTGTTTTTTCACAACCACACGTCATCTTAAGAAATACCTCATCTTTTGGATTGTCTTTCCATCTCTGATTATGTGTAGGTCACACTCGGTGTATATGAAATGGCTTCAGCAGCTGGTTTGCCTTGTGAGATCGACCCTACGCTGGTTTCAGCGATAGCAAACATGCAGACAGGTGAAGTCCCATATAGAAGTTTGTCTGTCTGAAACAATGTCTCAAGTTCATCTAATGTTTTCAATACATTATTCATTATTCTCCTCGGCAGACAACTCGTCCATTGAGGAGGAGTTCAAAATTACCTGCTTGCTGCTGGTTTATATAGCCGTGTCTTTACCCACCCTGTGCCTGGATCCAAACTCTTTCTACCGCCGAGAACATGGAGGTAACATTGGGCAGAAGAGCAGGAGTTGCATAAGAGGCAATGCAAATGCAGTCTTGACAACAAGTTGACGAAAACAACTAGTACACGGAGCAGATGATGACTGAATAAAGATAAACTCCAGAACATCTGCACTTGCTCTGATGGAACTAAAAGCCTATAAATAAAACAGACCATAAATAAAAGCCTAATACTTAGAGTAAATGCAAATCTTTGAAGATGTATTTTGCTAAACTCTTTCTGAAACTCAAATGAACTTGACTTGTTCTTCAACAGGTCATCAAAACAACATTCATTGCTTAGCCACTGCAGTTAACCATCTTGCTGCAGCTATGTTCACTGTCCAGAGAAAAAATATCCAGACACAGCTTCAAGAATTCCTGAAGGTAAACGAATAACCACTGAATACATGGCAAGAGTTCAGTATTTTTCATTCCATACATTGACATTCATAAATCCATAGCAAACATTTACTGAAAATCTTGGTAACGCTTCACAATTAGGTTCCCTTTGTTAACATTAGTTAACATTAACTATATTTATTAACATGAACTAACAATGAAAATTGTTTTAAAGTATTTATTAATCTCAGTTCATGTTAATTTCAAAATTTACCAATACATTGTTAAAATCAAAAGTTGTTAATATTATAATTAGTATTATTAATATTAGGACCTGAGCTAACATGAACTAACATGAAATACATTTGTATTTGTATTAACTAATCTTAACAAAGACTAGTAAATACTGTGACAAATATATTGCTAATTGTAGTTAGTGTTAGTTAATGCACTAATGATTAGCTAATCAGACCTTATTGTAAAGTCTTATTAAAATCGTGACTCCAGAACATCTGCACTTGCTCTGATGGAACTAAAAGCCTATAAATAAAACAGACCATAAATAAAAGCCTAATACTTAGAGTAAATGCAAATCTTTGAAGATGTATTTTGCTAAACTCTTTCTGAAACTCAAATGAACTTGACTTGTTCTTCAACAGGTCATCAAAACAACATTCATTGCTTAGCCACTGCAGTTAACCATCTTGCTGCAGCTATGTTCACTGTCCAGAGAAAAAATATCCAGACACAGCTTCAAGAATTCCTGAAGGTAAACGAATAACCACTGAATACATGGCAAGAGTTCAGTATTTTTCATTCCATACATTGACATTCATAAATCCATAGCAAACATTTACTGAAAATCTTGGTAACGCTTCACAATTAGGTTCCCTTTGTTAACATTAGTTAACATTAACTATATTTATTAACATGAACTAACAATGAAAATTGTTTTAAAGTATTTATTAATCTCAGTTCATGTTAATTTCAAAATTTACCAATACATTGTTAAAATCAAAAGTTGTTAATATTATAATTAGTATTATTAATATTAGGACCTGAGCTAACATGAACTAACATTAAATACATTTGTATTTGTATTAACTAATCTTAACAAAGACTAGTAAATACCGTGACAAATATATTGCTAATTGTAGTTAGTGTTAGTTAATGCACTAATGATTAGCTAATCAGACCTTATTGTAAAGTCTTATTAAAATCGTTTATCTAACATGTCCGATTACGCCCATCCTGTAGGTGGCATCATCTATCTTACTGCAATTAGGTCAGAATGTGGAGCGAATGGAAATAAAGAACAGAGATTCCGTTTATCTCATTCTACACATGGTAATAAACCTATGGCGAGTAATTGAATTACTATCATTTAAAAAATGGTTTATTATACAAATCTTACTTTTGTATTCTTTATGTTGTAGATAGTGGAGCAGTCACCGTTCTTGAGTCAAGACATGCTGGAAATGTGTTTTCCATATGTACTCCTCCGAAACGCTTACAGAGAGGTGCACAAGACCTTCATCCACACTATGGGCTAAACTTATGAGGATGTAAAATCACCACTTTGTTTTTGTACGCATCGTAGTTTAACAATTTAAATTGATATTCAGCTGGTTTAATTTTTATTGTGAATACTTGTCTAAGTAGATTCCAGTGGACTCTGGTGAAATTAGGGGAAAATAACAATATATAGAAAGGCGTTAGCAGTATACAGCTGCATATAATACTTATTTAAGTTTTTAACTTTTTGACACAATGATTAATAACAGAAAGTTGTATTTTCATGTAGGTCATTCTCACGAGCTGTTGCATTATACAAATTCACTGATAACCATAATTTGCACATTTTTAAAAATCTTCTTTATTGCTCCAGAATATAAATAGAAATTGCAGTGCCCAGCAGAAGCATCTAAACCAGTATATAATAATAACCTGCTAGCATACTAAAATAGTTTCTAGACAATGACTGTGATTGTGCTGTACATCGCACATTTGTATTTTTTTTAATGCATTTAAATTTTAAAGCTTTTTCTAGAAATGATCAAAAATGTGATTTATAAAATGAAAATGTTATCAAATAAAAAAAATCTTTCATTAGTGATATGTTTGTGTGTGTTTTGCTATGTTCACGTCTACTAGTGTGTTGGTTTATATGAACATATTTTAAAGAATATTTGAAAATAATACAATGGATACAAAGAATATTTCGTAGAAAACACAAAAACAAAAGCAAGCATGCTCTTGTAAACATCTCCTTGAAGATTTCTTTAGCATCATGCCTTTATTAAAATCTCTGCCTCTTCCCTCTTTCTGCTTCCTCTATGCAGACTTTTATTCTTTCACACCTGCCCCACAATCAAGGACTCCATAAATGCTCACAATTCATTCAACCTATTTGTCTAGTCTCAACAATGGCTGTTTAGATTGCACTGCTCTTCCTGGGAGTTTCTTCTTTATCTTCCTTCTTTCCACTTCCTGTGATTATCAAACTTTCACTCCTGTTTCATTTGGAACTTCAACACCATTGTTGCTTCCCCAATGTCTCTCTTCAAAAATAAGCCCAAAATTGTTCCATGGTCTCTGGAAGCTTCCAAGGCCTTCCAGCTGCTCATTCAAGCCTTGCCTAGTGCATGCATGCTCAGTTATCCATATGTCCAACACCCCTTCATCAAAAAAAAGTCTACACTTCCACCACCAGCATCAGGGCTGTATTGTCTCAACTGTAGGGCACATCTGTTAACCTCTAAATTAAGTGGATGAACCCTAGCCAGACCCAGTGGGCTTTATTCTTCACCAGATTCTCCTTCATGGTCACTTATCATCCTGGACTTTATAGTGGAGCTCTCTGTCTCCACTCATTAATCCAGCTGTTCTCCTTTCACCGTTATCAACCCCATCCATACCCCTTTTCCACCAGCAGGAGCTAGTGCTATAGCCGGTTCGGAGTTGGTTCGACTTGCAAGCCCATTAAGAACCGATTTGCTTTTCCACGGACTAGAGAGCCACCACAGAGCCAGGTCTTACGTCACCGAATACGTCAAATTTTTCCCAGCAACACTAGCGCGGAAGCACCAAACACACCATCAACAATGGTGGGCATTGCGTTGCATTGCTATTGATGTTGGCTTTGCGAACCTACATCGGCATCCAAACCCGGTGAATCCAACGTGTTCGTGCAGCTCACCGTAGTTTGTGTAGATGGAGATTTCAAGCGAGAATAACGGTAAGTAACCAGAGGACCAGATTGCAAGAAAACAGCTTGTTTCCTCCTCGGACCACTGCTGTTTTAGCTTAATTGCGTCCATCTTGTTTAGCTGCTATTTCAAATATGGCGGTCAAAAGTTTCTGTTTGTCTTGTTGGTCATGGTAACACCGCCCCCAGCCCCTGACGCAAGCGGTTCTTCCTTCTAGTCCAGCAATGTTTTGGTGCTACCTACGAACCGCTTTTCCTGGTTCGGAGCTGGTGCTTTGGGTGTCAAAAGACAAAGAACCGGTTTGAAACTAGGCTCTGGCTCCAAACCAGCACTCGAACTGCCTTGGTGGAAAAGGGGTACCAGTGGCCCCTGGGATGATCAAAAATCAATGAGAAAATATTGATTAATTAATCTTTTTAACTGTGTAGATAGCGGTGGGGGTATATAACCACTACTATGTTTTTGTAAAAATCTCCTATGTAAGAAGAAAACAGTGACTCGGGAAAAGTATTAAAGAAAAAGAAAAAGAAAAAAATGGCTGAACAGGCAGTATAACTAATAAAATAATTCAAAACATTATTTCAAAACAAGCAAGTCCTCATTAGCAGGGCTTAAAGTTCTCCGGCACCGTGCTGGATCTCCGGTGTGCTGTGTTTGGCTGCTGGGGGAAAAAAAGATAGTCGTCCTACATTTAAAAACACTTGTTGATATCACGTTCGAGTTCATGCGTACGCCTACCAATGTATGAGAGGAACACAGCTTTCACTCTCAACCAAACTTACATTACTAGCCAATCAGAAGTTTTTGCTTTTATAAACACGAGACGCGCTTAATAGTATCCAATTGCAGAGTCGCAGCTGATGAATGGAAAAGAAGCCTGGGTCTCGAGCACAACACATTGAAAAAGCTGCGAGGCGCAATGGTCAAAGATTTCCATCTAGCGTAATCTATATTTACATAGAAAAGCTTTTTAAAAAAGCAGCGGAGCTTTGTAAACAGCTCAGAGTAATCACGTCATCTCCATAAGAACGATATGATGGCCAGAACAAATTTACCGGGATTTTTGAAAAGGTCCTGTTCACATGTGATCTCTTAACGGTAATTTACCAGTGAAGACTGTATGTGTGAAAGGGGCTAAACTCTTCCTCTGCATCTGCGGTGAGTTTGGGTTGCTTAACGTTCATCTGGGAAAACTCCCTTGATTTGTAATGTAAATAATTTAAACCTATGCAGACACAGGAGAATACATCAACATTTCTAAATATGCGATTTATTGTACATCGCGATTTCAAAATAAAAGTTTGTGACTTTGCATGTGGCCAAATATTAAAATTAAATGGATTTAAACGTTGAATCACATGAAACCTCACCAGGCCGTTGGTGCCCTCTGCAGGTATTTATTATAAATATAGGCATATTACATTATGTATTTAACAGTGTTGTTCAATAAAACCATGTACTTGATTTTGATACTTTATTTGAGGCCAATTATTACTGCCTCATCGTTACTTTATATATAAATATAGTCATATTAAAGCCTGTTTTTCCACTTAGTAAGTGATGTGACATGTGGCCAAGTATGGTGACCCATACTCGGAATTAGTGCTCTGCATTTAACCCATCCAAAGTGCACACACACACAGCAGTGAACACACACACACAGTGAACACACACCCGGAGCAGTGGGCAGCCATTTTTTGCTGCGGCGCCCGGGGAGCAGTTGGGGGTTCGGTGCCTTGCTCAAGGGCACCTCAGTCGTGGGTATTGAAGGTGGAAGAGAGCACTGTACATTCACTCCCCCCACCTACAATCCCTGCCGGTACGAGACTCGAACCTGTAACCTTGGGTTATGAGTCCGACTCTCTAACCATTAGGCCACGACTTCCCCTAGTAGTTCTATTTGTATTACTAAAACATATCAGATTACTTGTCAAAATAATCAGTAGATTACTTGATTAGCAAAATAATCATTAGTTAAGCACTAGATTAGTTAAAACATTACATTTTTTGAAAATTTGAAAATGAAAACATTGTCTCGTTCTATTGAAGTATCTGCATTTTGTCTCACCTCGTGAGCTAAGTGTATTGTCACATCCCTAGTGTCTAAGAGCGTGATAAAGCTCATGATTTTCCAAGCGTATGATATAGCTTTCAATCTTCAGGTCAATCATATATTCATGCAAAAAAAAAATCAGTTTGAATAAAGAAAGCGATAACTTTGCCACAGTATCCTTTCAAATGTTATGCGTACGCCTACCAATGTATGAGAGGAACACAGCTTTCACTCTCAACCAAACTTACATTACTAGCCAATCAGAAGTTTTTGCTTTTATAAACACGAGACGCGCTTAATAGTATCCAATTGCAGAGTCGCAGCTGATGAATGGAAAAGAAGCCTGGGTCTCGAGCACAACACATTGAAAAAGCTGCGAGGCGCAATGGTCAAAGATTTCCATCTAGCGTAATCTATATTTACATAGAAAAGCTTTTTAAAAAAGCAGCGGAGCTTTGTAAACAGCTCAGAGTAATCACGTCATCTCCATAAGAACGATATGATGGCCAGAACAAATTTACCGGGATTTTTGAAAAGGTCCTGTTCACATGTGATCTCTTAACGGTAATTTACCAGTGAAGACTGTATGTGTGAAAGGGGCTAAACTCTTCCTCTGCATCTGCGGTGAGTTTGGGTTGCTTAACGTTCATCTGGGAAAACTCCCTTGATTTGTAATGTAAATAATTTAAACCTATGCAGACACAGGAGAATACATCAACATTTCTAAATATGCGATTTATTGTACATCGCGATTTCAAAATAAAAGTTTGTGACTTTGCATGTGGCCAAATATTAAAATTAAATGGATTTAAACGTTGAATCACATGAAACCTCACCAGGCCGTTGGTGCCCTCTGCAGGTATTTATTATAAATATAGGCATATTATATTATGTATTTAACAGTGTTGTTCAATAAAACCATGTACTTGATTTTGATACTTTATTTGAGGCCAATTATTACTGCCTCATCGTTACTTTATATATAAATATAGTCATATTAAAGCCTGTTTTTCACTTAGTTCTATTTGTATTACTAAAACATATCAGATTACTTGTCAAAATAATCAGTAGATTACTTGATTAGCAAAATAATCATTAGTTAAGCACTAGATTAGTTAAAACATTACATTTTTTGAAAATTTGAAAATGAAAACATTGTCTCGTTCTATTGAAGTATCTGCATTTTGTCTCACCTCGTGAGCTAAGTGTATTGTCACATCCCTAGTGTCTAAGAGCGTGATAAAGCTCATGATTTTCCAAGCGTATGATATAGCTTTCAATCTTCAGGTCAATCATATATTCATGCAAAAAAAAAAAAAAATCAGTTTGAATAAGGAAAGCGATAACTTTGCCACAGTATCCTTTCAAATGTTAAAGTTGCCAGAGTCATTGCATTCTTTGCATGTGCTGCACTTTATTTGTACCATTTTGTTTTATTAGTTTATTTATTAGAATTTGAAAGATAATAACAACATTGATTGATAAGTGAGATCTGATTTTAGTCCTTGAAAACCAAAAAAGTAGTGCAAGTCCTTGAAAGTCCTGGAATTGTATTTTGCAGTATCTGTATGAACCCTGTTTAAGTTACCAGTTCTTGGACCATTTTAATGTTTTTGTTGTTGTACTGAACTGTAGTTTTCTGTTGTAAACTGTCTTTTTATACTTCCTATTTTATATTCATTTCCTAGTATTTAATTTACCATTATTTCTTTAGAACAAAACAATTTCAGAAATGTCATGT